GTAATACTACTGGAAAAGTCATTGTTCACTAGCAGTTGTGTACCACTACTGTCTTTAACTGACACATTGTCGATATACAACTGATTAGAAGGTGCTGGGTTGATAATAAAAAGTAATTGCGCTGAGTGAGCAGTAGCAGTATAGTTGTATGAATAATTTGTATATGAACCAATACTAAAGCCAAAATAGGGTGAAATGTAGAGGAGATAGCTTGAGCCGGACGGTGTTCCGCATAGCGCTGTTGATGGTGCTGTTGTGGTGAAATAAAAGTAGAAGAAATTTACAGTTCTCATAGTTATTTATCACACTTTAAAAATTAATTATTACTCGTGGTTGTTTTTGTAGCTAGAATATACACAAATAAGTGCACTTGATAGACTATAGATAGAACATTAGAAGTATAATTACTCACATGCAGCGGTACTTGTCCCGGTTGTCGTTTTGGTTGTAGTTGTCGTAGTTGTAGCTAGAGAATTTTTTCATTAGATTCATCGCATTCAGCAAGACGGCACTGGTATGAAGCAATTACGCGAATGATGCAATAGAATGTAAAGTAACCAGCAACATAACTCTTCAAACATGGCCACAGCTGAAATCAGTTGTTCATATGAAAGCTTTCTTGGTATTTCTCTGATAGCAAAATCACAGTCTTAGAGTATATCTCTCAGATATATTATGTAATAGAGGTCAAGGTCCCTTGAAAATGAAGTACTTATGACGGTGAGATAGAATAAAATCGTGACTGTTTCTGAAAGACAATCACAATGTCCGGCAATATCAGAATACTCACCGTTTGAAACTGCACCAGAAAATGGTATTTTTCGTCGCTGGATTCACAGATATTGGACATCGTGGCAGAAATTATATTAATGTAGGAAATAATATAAAAAGCTAGCTTTTATTCCACAGAATTAATAACGCTCTACACAGGCGAGATATGTAGCATAGATCATGAAATTCATCCTGTAACAAATTTCATCTTACGTTAGTGGCAACAGTCGTTCTTGAGATAGAGACACAGTAAATTTGATGATTTCTTCTGCATGGCGTGCTAGTGTCTGAGCTAGCCAATAAAGTCGAAAGCTTGCAAGAAATTCCTAAAACCGCATCTGTAAACATACAAAATACAAAAACTTCACGAATTGTATTTTAGGTAAACTTTATTTTTCTTTGGCACCGCACTATTCACCAAGCTCATTGATCGATTGATGTATTAGAAGACAGACGAAATGCGCTCAAAGTGTGGGTCGTAATAGAGGAAGAAAAGGCCATGTAGACAAACTTTGAGGTATAAGTTGTAGAACAGAAACTCCTCTTTCAAATGATGTGAGGTGGAGCTGATTTTGACTTTTCTGTGAAGAGAAATCTTAGTTTTTAATGTCCTTGTCCTATTATTTCTCCTGTTATGCTTCGAATAAACGGGAAAAGTCGTATTTTCTGATTGCTTTCTGTGCTCATGCCTAGACTCAAATTTTCTTTCTAATTCATGAGATACTTCTTAGTTCTACACAATTTCTGTTTGAAAAACTTATCAGACCGTCATCTGCACTTTTCAGCTGGAAACCGAGCGCTTTTGTATCGAAGATATCTCAGGAACGAGCGTTACAAATCAGACGCAATCGATGCAAGATGAATTTCATACTATATATCAACTTATCTAGAGTGTCTTTGGTTCGGCATAGGTATGCATAAAGCCAATCAGGCCGAATTCAAGGCGGCTCGGCTATTTTTAACAAAATTGCAAGTATTGTTTGCAACATCTGCAGAAAGCATTTCCGAAAGTTGAGTCTAGAATCAAAAAGCTTGTCAACTTACACCTTAGGGTCTACAATTGAAACTCCTCCCATAGCAAGTAGCTTACTTACGTAAAGCCTTACTACAGTTCGTGGTTGGTAGTTTGTGTAAACGCAGCCGAGGCAAATGCACTCAATTTTACGCTATGTTCGTCGTGTCCACAACCTAGGATATTCCAGCTTATATATGCGATATCATCGACACCAGAAGTTTGGCTAGGTCCCAGCTTGTCGTGTCCGCAAACTCGGATATCCTAGTTTACATACACGATATCACTGACACCAAAATTTACCCCAAGTTTCAGGCCGTCGAATTGGACATGTTCCTCATATCCACATACTTAAGAGCGACATCTATACCGATGGCGCTGGACAACAAATGTACAGAGTTTGATTCTTCACATTTTTACTCTAGGCTCAACTTTCACAAATGCTTAATGCGTAAACTATTCACAAATCACTCAGTTATGCTGTGAAGCTAGTGTACAGAGAATTTGGCTAAAACAAACGCCGACAGGAGTGACTCATCGATTGAATTTTGCATAGAGAATGAGCGATATAGTCTAAGTACTTTTCAGAGAAGTTGCAAACAATATTTGCAATTTTGTTAAAAATAGTCAAGCCGGCTCAAGGTCGAGCTCTGGAGCCTGGCTCGAGCTTGGTGCATGTCTAGCTCGCCAGATTAAAGGTTAGTTTCTTATTTTAATTCCCCACAAGTTAGCCTCAAACAAGCCTTCCGAATGCCATTATATTACGAAAATACCACAGAGTATTGTAGTGTTGGCGTAGTTGTGCCTTAGAACTGTGGTAGCTGTTCTTTTACAAGTGTTAGTTTAAAGTAAGGAGTGAGGTAAGAGAAAAACTTTCTGGGTTGGTGTAGAGATAAAAGGAGTGGATCTTCGGCACGAGTTATGAGTAAACCTGGTTAGAAATTTCTACCAGACTTTTCATTCGAAGTAGCGCGTTTACAAAACCAACTTTGAACTGTGCAAACTTACTGCTCGTTGTTGTTGTTGTTGTTGTCGATGTAGTGGTGGTAGTGGTGAATGTAGCTACAATATTCAAAGTAGCGCCTGTACATAACCTACTTTGGACTGTGCAGACTTACTGCTCGTTGTTGTTGTTGTCGATGTCGTGGTGGTGGATGTAGCTAAAATTAAATAAAACCTACATGAACCGACAAGAATAATTGTAATATTTATCAAATTTCACTGGTTGTTGTAGTGCCTAAAGGAAAATAAAGCTCGACTGATTATAAGTAAAAGTCAAGAAATTAGTTTTTGTTTTGTTTCTCTAACTTACTTGTAGTCTTCGTGGTTGAAGTGCTGGTACTTGTGGCTATAACGACACGTAAGCTGATAGCAAGTGAGAAATATGTGAAAGATTTGAGACGGATAAAACCCACCTGTGGTCGTAGTGATCGTACTGGTTGTACTGGACGTAGCTGAAAAAACATAACTTCGGGTTTTGTGTGTGTTAATGTTAACCCAGCACTTTTGTACTCACTGCTCGAGGTAGTAGTTGTCGACATATCTGCAAAACAGAACAAGTAGAAGTGTATATCCTCAAAACAAGAATACTTCAAGTGTTTTCTTACCTGTCGTCGTCGTTGTTGTTGTAGTAGTAGTGGATGTCGCTATTCAAGTAAACGAACAGTTTATTATCGATTTGCGATCCATTATTTGTTTCCTTTTCTTCTGACATAGCGATCCAGTAACTGGCTCAAGCTTTACGAACAGGCTATAGAAGAGTCAGGATAATTATAGTCTCGAAAAAGCTAATACAAGTAGAACTACCAGATTTTAATGAAAGCTATGATTTTTTTGCAGATTCCTTCAGTGTTATATGGTTTGTAAAAAAAAGTTAGGTCAAGTAAGAAGAATAATCTCGAATCAAACTGTTGGATAGCATATTAAAATCAGCACACAACGAACAAAATTCAAAAAAATAAAAGTCATTTCTTACTGGTCGAAGTTGTTGTTGTTGTCGTTGTCGACGATGTGGTTGTCGAAGTGGAATTACCTAAATTAGAAATACTGCGACTAAAACACTTAAGAGAGTTGATGATGTTTTATAAGTCTGTCAAAAAATATGTAAGAATCATACTGATGATCATAATGTCTTATCGTAAGAATGCTTTCCGTAGAGATGACCGCACATCAGGAAGCGTTCTCAAAGTTCTGTTCCTAACTCTCGATACATAAGAGAGAATGATTAGTTGATTTAAATGAAGTTTGCACAGTTGAGTTCTTCGTATAGTAGACGCCTTGTCACAGTTCATTTCCTCTTAAATTCAAACACTCGTCTAATCATTTCCTTGTAGAAAAGCATTCATTCACATTACAGTAGTTTTAGGGAAGTATAGACAGTGACGTCGTATTGACACACATACTTGTAGAAGACGTTGTAGTGGACGTTGTAGTCGACGTTGTAGAAGGCGTTGTAGTGGACGTTGTCGACGTTACTGACAAACAGTGTGCATAAGAAAGCAATAAATAAATTCCTTGGGTAGAGATCTCAAACTAACTTACTTGTAGAGGTAGTGCTGCTGGTTGTCGTGGCTGAAGAATCAAAATTAATTTCGATATATGCCCTTATGCATATAATGGTCATGAAGAGTGGGGGAGTCCGTTACCCGCTCCACACTTCAGTCACCAGCGCAGGCGATGAACAGGGTTAAACCAAGCTTTTTCTGGTGTTGGGTTCAAGTTTTGAGCATTTACCGACAGTTTTTATTTTCTGTTTTTCCGATGAAAGAACTTCTTTGTCTCCAGGAATATACTAAGAAGTGAGCAAAAACACAAAAGTCCCTCTTTTAAGGCTGAATCAGCAACGACAAGTTATAGTAAAGCATCACTACACATAGCGTCGTGTACAAAATAAATCACCGAGTGATGCAAAAAAAGCAGCAGTCCTTCTCTCCTTCAATTTCACTTTTCGTTTCATTAGAATACCGTCAGTTTTTAGCCACACGATCATTAGACTGTTTAGAAGTAACCGAAACTTATTGTTTCGATGTTTTCTGTCCGTGATGTTTCAAGTCCTTTTCTTAAAAACAGCAGCTGTTTATTTTGTCCGAATTTAAGCGGGAAAAACATATTTCAGTAATGCAGAAAATGGACGTTCTTCTGTTGTGTTAGGTGCGATTGGGACAAAAAGCCAACTTTATGACTGAAAAACGGTGCATATTCGCACAAAACAAATTTTCCTGAAAACGTTACTGAACAGGGCAAAATCAGGAACAATAAAGAAGATGAAATCGAGTTCTTAAAAATAGAAGAACATTAAGCTGGTGTAGGAACAATTCCTATTTTAATAGATTTAGTTACTTTCCGGTGAAAAGTTGACCCAGGTGATGCTGGAGAACGCGTAGAAAATATTGCGGGATCACAACCGGGCCAGAAATATTCTCATCGCCAGTTTCCAGTGAAGAAGCACTTACTTAACGGTGTAGTAGAAGATGTTGTTGCGGTACTAGCTAAGAAATCAAAAGCGGTTGAACTGTAGGAAAATCAGCAGGTTTGAAAAACTGGCGCGCTCACTCGTGAATGTCACGACTGTTGTATCTAAAAAAACGTATATACGATGTAAGAGGAAGGTGATGAATAGAATTTACTCTGCTCGCTGACATAATTGTCGTCGCTCTGCCTAACAACACTCAATAAAAGTTGTATTCATTTTATCGAATTTGCTTATAATTATCGCGTTATGTGAAATACCTACTTGTAGTTGATGTTGTACTAGTAGAGCTGGTAGCTAAAATGAATAACAAATACATAGATCTTGCAGTACTAAATCGCATGAGCCAAGCTGTATCTGACAATTCATCTCTTTTCCAGCGTTATAGCTATCGCATTTAGGATCTGTCTTCGTAGGAAAAATTCGTCTAATCAGAACGGAAATCAATATAGTTCACTTACATCACGCAGTTTACACTACTTATATAGGAGATGCAGCTAGTGTAAACTTTATTTCTATGTTATCGTATTTCTACAATTATTTGGAAGAACATTTAAGTCGAAGTTCGACTGATGAGTCTTCATCATCCTTCGACTGCCAACAAACGAGGCTTGCAGGAGATAACAATCCTGGACCAATTCTTCCTGTTCTCAGCAGCCTTCCGAATCTGGTCGATCGTAGGGAGCGTGTCGTTATTGATCCCGCTTCCGATGTAATCGGGATACTTTAGGTATGGGCGACCCCGCCTGCGTTTGGCGTGGCTGAGTTTTGTTGTGTAGAGAGCGTACATATGGGTAAAGTCACCTGCTTTTCTGCGAAAGCAATGCCCGATGAAGCGCAGTTATCGTCGTTGCACTGCTTACACTAAAGATTCTTGTCCGGTCTTTTCGTAGATGTAAGTTTGTTGAGATGTAAAACCCAACTGTTTTATTTTTCCAGCAAAATTTTCTTAGCAGATTGAGAATTTTCTACAGAATGGTATTTTTCTGGTTTCATTGCTATCCACTCTGAATAATTCACATACATGAAACTTCTCATAGGGTCAAACTTCGTGCATTTATCGAGGATTTTCATTCAAATCAGTTGAATCTTAATGTACATTCACTGTGGATTATTTATTAAAACTTTAATAATTCTTATGTGTATTCTTATTTAAAGTATGTCAAATTAAGAAATGTAGATTATTTGAGCCTATCAGAATCAAATGAAGTTTTTCTTACCGCATTTATAAGACACTGTACAAGTTAAGTTAATATCCTGTCTACACCAATTGTCTTCCTGACATCCTGATTCACCATAGCGCTGATTAAGACACATTTTGCCATTCCAAAATGTGTGTATTGGACACAAACATGTTTGATTTGAGCATAACAAGTAGCGGCTTCCCAAACATTGTCCGCAACTTTGATTGTAAACAGTAAATATATTTTCACTGTATCTAATTGCACCTACTCGACTTGTGAATGAGGCCGAGTTATTTATCTTGCCCGTAGATATTTCACCTATGAAAAGTTACAAGTATTAGATCAGTGTTTGACATTAGTAGAGCCATTAAACGTCTCATGTTACACGCAAACCTTTCCCTTTTCTTACATATGTTGCTTACTTGACAGGGGTGTTTCCTATGTATGCCCTGTGATTTCATTCGAATGATACCCCACTTACTCTCAAATAATCGACATTGAAATGATTTTGTATCATAATCAAATGTTCTACATCGGGGTTCATTATAGCATATACGTGTACAGTGAATCTCTGATAATACGCTTTCAATGTTGACTAACTCGATTATGTTAGCAGGAATGAATGATGTGCCGAATAGTTGTAATTCAAAGCGCGTTGGTGGTTGTAAACTTTGTGATTCAGCATGACCAACAATCATCAGCATTGTATATAAGACAAAATAGTCGTTCTGCTGCATTTTTCTTTATATGAATATGTGCTTCTCTTACTTGTTTTTTCGAGTTGGAACGCAACAAGGTTGTGACAGGCTACTATTCTCTTTACTCAAATTTCTTTCTTCAACAACTACTTCGTGAGTAATGGGCGCAAACGATGTTTGAACTAGTTCACTAAAAGCTTCTTGAAATCTGCTGTTGTAATTTGTGATAGTACTCTCGTTTGTTAAATGACGTATTTAAACAAAACTCGTCAAAAGAAAGTGGAAAAAAACAAACGCGACACACTTCACTTTGAACATCCAAAAATAAGGCTCAGCAACTGTTTCTAACAGAAAGAGAAGAAAGAGCATTATTTTTCTTTAATCAGTGCAAACGGAGGTTCATTTTTGTCTTCCTGTGCAATAACAAATCTGAACACAAATTAGTACTGATTAAAGAAAAATAATGTTCTTTCTTCTCTTTCTATTAGAAACAGTTGCTGAGCCTTATTTTTGGAAGTTCAAAGTGAAGTGTGTCCCGTTTGTTTTTTTCAGCTTTCTTTTGACGAGTTTTATTTAAGAGGCACTGCACGATAGGGACGAACTAAGTTGCTCAATGAACTGTCACAGAATTTTCTCAAATCTTCAGGATAAGTAGAGTAAGGTGTCCTAAAGAATTTTGTCGCTTGACGTTTTCTTCCAAAATGCTTTCCCTCGACGCTAGAGCGCTTGCAAAAAATGTCGTAAAATATGGAAAAAAAGCGCTTTTTCAGTCGAAAATTTTACTTACGCTATACCTCGATCAAATCAAATGCTAATGAGCTTAAATTTTTACCAGAGCTGTCTTGCTATGAGTACTATCTAAGATATGAACCATCGTCGAATTTTTGGGGAAATGATGGAAAACACTCGGGAGCCTCTTGTCAAAAACGGTCGGCGCACCTCGGAAAAACCTGAAAATTCTTTTAAAATCCATTGAATTATATGCCATTCGACGCAGAATTTCATTCTGCATCTGAATATGTATAAATAAAAATTCCACAGTACATAGAAAGGGAGAAAAACGCCAAAAACTTCGAATTTTCCTAGGTATTCCACCTTTTACTGGACTAAAATGCTTTTTTATTCAAAATAGGCTTTCTTATACTTCATCCGACGCACAATTCAGTGCTGATTCCGAATATCTATGTTTTCGTGTGTGTGATGAAATGACTTATTAAATTGCTAGAGCGTCTCTAGTGCTAATTCCGAATATCTATGTTATAAGACTTCAAGGTGAACAGGCGTGACAGAAAACTCGATTTACCCAAGGTTTTTTTGAGATTCAGCTGCAGTAAAACTTATTTTAAGTCAAAGTTATCACCTTTCACACTTCTTTTCATGCAGAATTGATTGCTGAATAGTAATAATACGATAAGCTGTTCTTGAAGACTGGATAGAGTTTTACGTCTGCAGCGGACGTAAAGAACGATTGTGAGCTGAGTAAGCGTTTCTGCTGAGATTCGCGTTTCGTTCTCTGAGAAAAATAAAATTCTTCCGTACTGTGATAACGTACGCTATATTGATATCAGCGATGAGAGTATTCTTCAGTCTGAATGCTTCATGGGCAGGCTATGCTAATGATCGTGTGTTAATTATATCAAAGACTAATACAGAAAAATCTGTTGGCAGAAAAATTGTTTGTGGCCATGTACATGCAGTAGCAGTACCATACTATCTCTCTTCTTATTATTTGTTTCATTTTCTCTATCATTGTCGTATTTCGGAAATAAGTTAGGACAGTGGAACGAGAACAGTCATTTTTCATGAATACAAAAGAAGCAGTAGAAAAGCGTACACAGTGAAAAATGTTTTAAAAAAGTTTACAAATGTATCTTTCTCTCTTATTTACATGTCATT